TATACATACATACATATAAAAATATTTCAAATTTTAATATTTTCATGAATAATACAAAACAAAACAAAATTCAACTCAATGAACTTATATTTGTATAATTAAATTAAAATACTATTTTATTTAAATTGCAACGAATTTTTTCATTAAAAATATTATTTAATATTATATTATTGTTAGAAAATAAATATATTCAGAACCTTTTCTTTCAATGATTTTACTTTTATATTTCCTTTTTTTTCAATACTTTCTTTATTTCTAATCTTTTATCTGAATATTGTCAATTTGTATAATAAAAATGTAAAATATAAATATTAATAAATAAACAATTGTATATCAATACGACAATAACAAATGTACAATGCTAACAAAAAAAAAAAAAAATTACAATAAAAATATATGAAATATATAATAATAATAATAATACTTGCGATATTAATATATAGTATAATAAAAATTAACAAATATTCCTTTCTTACATAATTTTTTCATTATCTCATTACAAATATTATCTTTTATCTAAATCTATCGATTCAATAGATAAATTACAATATTGATCAATCATCAATCAATTAACATTGTTTTAATAAGTCTTTTAAAACAAATTCAACTGACGATTCATACAAATGAACAAACTATATACAAAATTATATTCTGATTAAAATTTACTATACTATTTTTGTTGTTTATTTATATTTGCATATTAAAATTACTTTCCTTAAAATCTAATCCCCCCCGTTCTATATATATATATAAATTCTAATTCCCCAATTGTTTCAATGCATTTTTCTTTTATTTATGTACTTGATGTATCTACTTTTGCTTCCTCATCAGAACTAGATGGTGCTTCTATTATTATTGCTGGTACTTTTAATGTTGCCATTTCCCTTTCATTACCATCATTTTTACGAGATCTAGGAGAAGTTTTTGGAAATAATGCTGCAGCTTTTGATAATATTCCTGCTGGTTTTGGTGCTAACCATGCAACTTTTGGTGATGGTACTTCAGCTCTTGATGATGGTCCTGCAAGACTTGCTGATGGTCCTGCAGCACTTGATGAGGGTCCTGCAGAACTTGATGATGGTCCTGCAAGACTTGCTGATGGTCTTTCAGCACTTGGTGATGTTCCTTCAGCACTTGATGATGGTACTGCAAGACTTGGTGATCGTTCTGCAGCTCTTGATGATAGTCCTGCAGCACTTAATGATAATCCTGCAAGAATTGGTGTTGATCCTGCAAGAATTGGTGATGGTTCTGCAGGTCTTTGTGATGGTTCTGCAGGTCTTTGTGATACTTCTTCATATCTTGGTAATTCTCCTGAAGTACTTGATGATGTTACTAAAGGTCTTAGTGCTACTTCTTCATATCTCGGTAATACTCCTGCGTCTAAACGATTACGATATCTACGTCGAAATAAATCTTCAATCTGACATTTTACTATAAGAGCTATAGTTGTGATAAAAACAACTGTCACAAACGTATATGTGATTACTTCGATTGAAAACATACTGTCACAGGTCAAAGCAAAAAAGGGAACCGAAAAAAAAGGTGTGTCACTACCATTGCATTTGACATAACTCAAATCCGTATGTTTTTTTCGATATATGTCAACAAAAATATGTAAATTACGTGCATAACAATCACATATAATTGGGTTACCACTTAGTGTCAATTTTTTTATATTTTTATCACTTAAAATATCCAATATTTTAATAGAGAGAGATTTTATATCATTATTATGCAATTCTAATACCTAGAAATAGAAATTCAATTTGTTTAATATATTTTAATCAATTAAATACAATGTTAACACGTTGAGTGTCACGTCAGTCATAAATGAATGACACTGAACTTCCCATTAAAACTGTATCGTTTCATGTGTCGAATTCACGTGACACTCAACGTGTTAATAATAATAATAATAATAATCAAAGAAATGACGTACTTCGAGATTTYTTGGTATTTYCCWATAWTCTAYGTAATWAATTCGATTATTRGATAACAATAAATGAATTTTGTTGACTGATTTGMYTAATTCATAAGATGGCAATACTGTTAAATGATTTCCAGTGAGATTTAATACAAATGTATGATTCAAATGGTTGACATTTAATACCTCGGTTTTAACAAATTYAGTCAAATTTTGATAAGAACAGTCATAAATTCGTGYACCGTTATACGGCACTATATAACAACGACAACCRATCATACATTTATTCTCAATATTAAAATATTCGTGTTCGTTACATTTATATGTCAATGAATTCAATTGTTTAATTTCATATTTGTAATGACCATCGTCATCGATRCACTTTGATCTACGTAATTCAATTTTAAAWTGACTATYATTAAAATATGRCAWATCATGTTCAARTAAACGCAACAGATGATACAATTGACAATTGCACAATATGGGATTGTTATAAAAATGAAATGTGATATTTCGTTTAAGTCTAAAATAACTTTCCAAGCGTTTTTCTATCTTATCAAAGAAAATCATTTTRATACGATTATACGATAGATCGATTGTAATATTGATGGAAGGTACTAATAATTGACTCATCTGTAAAAATATAATYAAAGGATGATTAATTTGAAATTAAATGTTTAAATAATAAAATTYAATAAATATATATTTACCGATATGTTTTCTATTTTGTTTTGATTCAAATCTAAATAATGTAATTTATGTAAACTAACTGGCCATATGAGAGGATAAGTTCGTATCAAATTTTCCCTTAAATACAATTCTTCCAAATTGAAATTATGTTCAAATGTTGAATTTAAAATATCAGCCTTAAAATCTAATTTATTTGATGATAATTTCATAATCTTGAGATTTTYCAAAGGTTTTAAGGCCTGTTCTTCCAAATAATTTATAGAATTGCTTTCCAAATTAAGTTCGGTCAATACTTTCAAACCAACGAATATTTTTCTAAAAAATACACACACACACACAAATTATTTTTTCTATATAATATGATAATCAGTTTTAATAACATACCCCGTTATATTAGTCAAAGAATTATCAGACAAGATGAGTTTTTTTAATTTTTCCATATCTTGAAAGATATTTTCAGGAAGATATGCAATGTTATTGTCATGTAACGAAAGTACTTCAACATTTTTTAAACCTTTGAAAGTTAATGGTAATAATTGTTTAAACATATTTTCACCCAAGTTTAGATATTTTAATAATGTTGAATTCCAAAATTGTTTTTCTTCCAGAACTGTTAATTTAAGATTTTTCATAGACAATACTTCGAGATTTGTCAAATTCCAAAACGTATCTTCTTTCAAAGAATCCATAGGTTTGTTGTTTGATTCAATAAACAATTCTCGCAATTTTGTTGCACCATAGAAAATGGTTTTAGGTAATTGATAAARAGAATTGAAYGAAATATCAAGTATCTCCAAATTTGGWATATTACCGAAAAAGTGTTCATYAAAMTCTTCCAAKTTATTATTACTTAAGTTTAAAGCTTTTAACGATACTAAATCGAYAAATACATTATTTTGAAAACGTTCAAAATAATTGCCAACTAAATCCAAATGTTCTAAAGCMTTCAATTTGAAGAATACYTYTCTATCGATCGAWTTCAATCTATTTTTWGATAAATCTARTCGCTTGATATGTGGAATWACATCGAAAATATTATTAATYSTTTCAAGTTCATTATTGGATAGATCGATCCATRTCAAATTGGGAAAACWCACGAACAAATTATACGGAATGTTTTTTAAACCATTACYAGATAAAACTAATTTAGTAATATTTTCAAATCCAATAAAATGTTTTCTTTTAAGTTGTCCATCAAAATTTTTTGATGATTCAAATATCAAAGTTTTCGTCTCATTAA